TGGTAATTTTTAGTCAAATATGTCAATTTCAACATGTTCTTGTACAAAGTTTGGTTAAAATTGCACAGCCGTCTTAAAAAGTTATCTGGACAGACAGACGGGCTGATTCATATGTACCCCTTAAATTGATTTCTGATGGTGTACTTTTAGAAATTGTATTGGAAAAATAATTCTAGGGTATTCTGTATAAAGGTACGGCTAAATTTCTTGAGAGCATTATCTCTCATAGATATTCTTTTCTATCAATTGCCTGTATCAATGCTTGTAACTTAATAGTAACAAGAATTCTGAGGGTCCTGCATATAGATTACAATATCTCCATACCACTCTAGTAGCCTAACTGAAACAAACAATCCATTAAGAAGGAGAAGTTGCTATGGATCTAGTTATTTTTTTATGAGATTACCCAACCTCTAAAGAATCAAGGTGTTTTTAAAACCTTATATTTTCAGCCAATTTTCTATGTCCAGGAACCATTATTTTCTTTAAAATTACTGCATCAAAATAAAAATCAAACTTAAAACTGATTCTTTTTATCTATATTCAAGGGTCTACAAAAATCTTTGGCAAAATACAGCTAGCACGAAACTGGAACTTTACCTTTAAAATCTAATGATATGATTACTGTTAAGTGGTTTGTTTTCACAAAGGTTCATTTTCTTATGTCTAAGTCCAAACCAATTTAGCAAGGTTTGATTTTCACGTTTTTCTTGTCATTTTAAATACTAAAAAATTTGTAAGGGTTCCGCGGAACCCAGTGTCTCGCCTACTTTTGCTGTTAATCGCAGGCTCAACAAAAATGAGGAAAAAAAATAATAAAAATATTCCTCTCTATACTATCTTTTGATTGTAAGTAGCTTCTGTCCAAGTTTGGTAAAAATCCAGGATAGTTTATGAATCTAATAAATGTTTTAAAAACTTAAACTGCAGACTGTATGTAATGTTAACTGGAAGAAAAACTAAGTCCATTTATAAGTAAAATACGGAAAAATTGGAATTTTTTTTCTTCAAAAATTTCCTTCTAGATACTAGCTTTTAATCATAAACAAGCTTCTGTCCAAGTTTGGTACAAATCCAGGATAGTTTAAGAAAGTTGTTAAAATTTCAAAAACTTTAACCACAGAGTGAATGTAATGTTAACTGGCAGAAAAACTAAGTCCATTTATAAGTAAAATACGGAAAAAATGGAATTTTTTTTTCCAAATTTTACTTCTGGATACTATCTTATGATCATAAACAAGCTTCTGTCCAAGTTTGGTAGAAATCTAGGACAGTTTAAGAAAGTTATTAAAATTTCAAAAACTTTAACCACAGAGTGAATGTAATGTTTCCTGGCAGAAAAACTAAGTCCATATATAAGTAAAATACGGAAAAAATGGAATTTTTTTTTTTACAAAATTTACTTTTGAATATTATCTTATGATCATAAACAAGCTTCTGTCCAAGTTTGGTAGAAATCCATGATAGTTTCAGAAAGTTATTAAAATTTCAAAAACTTTAACCAGAGTGAATATTTGTGGACGCCGACGACGACGGAATGTAGGATCGCTATGTCTCGCTTTTTCGACAAAAGTCGAACGTTCGACAAAAATGATTAGATAATTGGACTATACTGAAAAGGGAATATTTTACCTTTGCAGCATATTCTAATTATCTAATTATTATTTATGCATAGGAGAAAACATGGTGAATAGTGGTCAGTAATGAATTAGTAGTGAGAATGAAATTTTCAGTTTTAGTGTGAAAATGTGCCTAGAAAGGGAACATCATGTAAGGGTAATAACTCCTATAAGGAGCTGCTAGAGGATTTCAATCATAATACCTCTTTGGGAATCTTGTTTCACTTTTTTTTTGTTATTTAGTCTCTCTCTTATAGTTTCCTCAAAAATCGTGATTAAAGGAGAATAACTCTTAAAAGGAAGTCACTGACTGTATAAGCCATAATGACTCTTGCAGATAAATTTTACTATTTACTCTTTCTTTATAATTTTAAAAATAATAGCCAAAATCACCCCAAAAAAAATGGTAAAAATCGTCATTCAAGGACAATTTCATTGATAAAGGGTCAACTGACAATTTTGGTCGTGATGACTTATTAGTAGATCTAAGAACATTTGTGATATTTAGTTTTCATTTATGTATTATAGTTAGCAAGATGTAAACCAAAATTTCCAACAAAAAAAATAGTAAAGGGCTTCCTTTCTTTAAGAGTAATTAATTTTTGTTCAACATGGGCAGAAGGCTGATCTTGACATCTTGTCTTGACTTATATTTACATTGTCAGATTTCTCTCTCTATGTATTTCTCTGGCTGTATTGGGTTTTTAATCAATACTTTCATTTTACTCCTGTGCTTTATTTTTAGCCTTAGTGGCCATTTTGGAATGAGTTGTTTTTGAGGGGAGGACTGATATTACAAGCAATTTTCTATATTCTAAGGCCACAAATTCTTTGGTCTGCAACTTCTTATGACTATTTACTAAATATATAATTGATTGATAAAGGCATTATAGAATAAATTGCTTCGCTGAGCGACCGCAGAGGTCCAACCCTGAACAGTTGGGGCAAAAAATGGACACAATATTCGCGCTTGATACAGGTCTGAATTTATAATCGGTTTCTGACACAGAATAACTGTAGTCAAAGAACTTAGAATTGGCTATATGATTTGAATCTATATTCAATTTTTTGCTTTCATGAAATACACTATGCTGTTGCGTATTGACCCCTCCCCCCAAAAAAAATTTTTTTTTTCTTTCTAATTTTTGAAATCTGAAATGAAAAAAAAATTTGCCCCCCCCCCCACAATTTCTTTTTTACCACCCTCCACCCCCTTTTCCAAAAAAAAAATTCTTTTCCTTAAGATATGGTCATAATCTCAATTCAAATTTCCAATGGAGTTTGCAACCATAATTACCAATTTAAATACATCATAAAAGTCTTAAATAGATAATTTTAAAGCAGTGTAAGGGAGGTAATCCAACATTGTACAATTTTGTTTTTGAAATTCCTCCCTTCCACTTCTTTTAAATTGTCCATTAACCAGGAAACTCTTGTTTTTTCCTCTTTTTTGCCCCTAATTCCTGAACGGTTTGAGCCATAACCCCCCCAAAGCTAATCCTTACCATCCCTTTGTGGTATGGAAACTTGTGGTATAATTTCAGAGAGATCCATACACTTAAACACAAGTTATTGTCTGGAAGTTACAACTAGAGGCTCTAAAGAGCCTGTGTCGCTCACCTTGGTATATGTGCATATTAAACAAAGGACAAAGATGGATTCATGACAAAATTGTGTTTTGGTGATGGTGATGTGCTTGTAGATCTTACTTTACTGAACATTCTTGCTGCTTACAATTATCTCTATCTATAATGAACTTGGCCCAGTAGTTACAGTGGAAAATATTTTGTAAAAATTTACAAAAATTTACAAAATTTATGAAAAAATTGTAAAAAATTGACTATAAAGGGCAATAACTCCGTAAGGGGTCAATTGACAATTTTGGTCATGTTGACTTATTTGTAGATCTTACTTTGCTGTACATTATTGCTGTTTACAGTTTATCTCTATCTATAATAATATTCAAGATAATAACCAAAAGCTTCAAAATTTACTTAAAATTACCAATTCAGGGGCAGCAACCCAACAACGGGTTGTCAGATTCATCTGAAAATTTCAGGGCATATAGATCTTGACCTGATAAACAATTTTACCCCATATCAGATTGCTCTAAATGCTTTGGTTTCAGAGATATGAGCCAAAAACTGCATTTTACCCTATGTACTATTTTTTAGCCATGTCGGCCATCTTGGTTTGCGGGCGGGGTCATCGGATACATTTTTTAAACTATATACCCTAATGATGATTGTGGACAAGTTTTGTTAAATTTGTCTCAGTAGTTTCAGAGGAGAAGATTTTTGTAAAAGATTACAAAAATTTACGAAAAATGGTTAAAAATTGATTATAAAGGGCAATAACTCCTTAAGGGGTCAACTGACCATTTTGGTCAAGTTGACTTAATTGTAGATCTTACTTTGCTGAACATTATTGCTGTTTACAGTTTATCTCTATCTATAATAATATTCAAGATAATAACCTAAAACAACAAAATTTCATTAAAATTACCAATTCAGGGGCAGCAACCAAACAACGATTTGCCTGATTGGTCTGAAAATTTCAGGGCAGATAGATCTTGACCTGATAAACAATTTTACCCCATGTCAGATTTGCTCTAAATGCTTTGGTTTCAGAGATATGAGCCAAAATCTACATTTTAACTCTATGTTCTATTTTTTAGCCATGTCGGCCATCTTGGTTCGCGGGCGGGGTCATCGGATACATTTTTTAAACTATATACCCTAATGATGATTGTGTAAAAGTTTGGTTAAATTTGTCTTAGTAGTTTCAGAGGAGAAGATTTTTGTAAAAGTTTACGGACGACGGACGCAAAGTGATGAGAAAAGCTCACTTGACCTTTCAGGTCAGGTGAGCTAAAAATGCTTATTTTTGGCCCCTTTTTGGCCCCCAATTCCGTAACTGTTGGTACCATAACCCCCAAAACCAATCCCAACCTTCCTTTTGTGGTATTGAACCTTCTGGTAAAATTTCATAGAGATCCATTCACTTAAAGTTATTGTTAAAACCAATGTATCTTCGTACGACGACGCAAACGTCATACCAATATACGACCGCAAAATTTTTTTGCGGTCGTTTAAAAACTGATTTTTGCAAGCAATTAACTATGTCCTGGGGCAACAACTTTTGCAACAATCACATAACTTAGAGGAAACTTGAACTAAATCTGTAACTTCTAATGATCTCACTATAAACCAAAGATGTACCAATAGTTTTGAAACATTACTGGAAAATTGTTTGAAAAACTTCTTGGATTGACAGAAGGACAGAGTGCAAACCTATAGTTTGTTCCCATCAGCTGTAAGGTGTAACATTTCAATTGATGATACTTCAAAATTCTGAAAATGCTGATGAATAAACATATAATAAAAAAAAAAAATTTATTTGTTTTAAAATCTATAAAATTGTACATTATCTCTTGTAGACAGATTTTTTGTGCAAATGAACAGATATAATGTAAAGGTGAATACTATTCCAAAAATTAATTCAGCAGATAAAATTTAATGCAGCTTCACGTTAATAGTGTAACCATGAAGTAATTTTTTAAAAATGGGGTTACATCAATTACAAATAAATCTTAATGATTTATGACTTACTGAAATGTGAATGAAAAAACATGCAGGCATTTTTTTTTCAAAACAATTAAAGTTTTCTTCATGATAACAAACTGGGTGACAGGGTAAATATATAGTCTTTACACAAACCTTTATTTAATATCACTACTTTTCAACATCCTTATTCGTACAGAAAAAAGGCTAAAACACGCTATATTCAACAACTCCTACATAAATATATGGTAATGTTTTAACAGTTATATAATTAGTGTGGCATAACATTTTTGTTTCACCTAATTCAGGGCTTGCTCTAGATTTAAGCAGTCCACCCTACCCAAAAAGATTCAAAAAGCTTTTTCAAATTACTTTCAATTTCATACACATTCCAAAGAGATTATAATAATATGTTATCTGATAACGATTAAAGCTGTTTTCTACTTTTTAGTATTTAAGTTACAGAGAAAGTTTTATTATCCATATGGATACAAGTTTATATGGATTAAGTATTGTTATATTGTTAAGTTCAACTGGCCATGTAGTAAAAATATCCTTGTTAGAAAATGAAGCCATATAGAAGCCATAAATACCACAGTAACTTGCAACACAGAATTTTGATATTATCCACAATAACTAGCATACAGGAAGATTTAAAAAAAAACATTTATACAGAATAAAAAGGTAATATTATAATATACAGCATTGTTAAAAAAAATACTTATAAAATAGCACCATGTTTCCTTAAGCACTAAACATATAAAAGGTAGGGTAAGTAAAAATACAAAATTGACTGTTTTGCATGTTTGGACAGATGGAATGAGAATTCTTATGTAAAGTAATAACTTTTCCACCTATTTATTTCCTTGAAACAACAATAACATTTTTTTTGCTTGATTTGATTTGGTTTGTATCGTTTTGACAAACTAACCTTCTCTAAGCACTATACAAAAAAGGACTTATGATACACTATTCTTTTTCTCCATAACTAGTATACTGCACTGATATTTGCCCTGGTTATCATTATTTTCATTTTCATGCCCTAAAAAAAACTATTCATGATTTAACTAAACAGTAATATTGTATGAAACCCCTTTAAGAGGTCATTCCTTTACCGAAACAATAAAGAAGACAAACTTTTCAAAACATACCAAAATATGCTGCCCCTTATCCAAATTTCTAAGAATAATTATGTTATTCAATCAAACAGTTATCAATGTGTTCATTAATTTCATCATTTGAAGTTCCTGAATCAAACTTTTTCTGACAAATTGGACATGTTTTCTCTTTCTGTATACTTTCCTCTTTTTTACATGCAGACTTTGCAAAACTGTTCATAATGGAAGACTGTTTACGTCGCTTACTAGTAGGCATCACAGGAGTTGATGATTTACGTTTCTTTCCTTTTGTTTCAATTTTTCTATCTATTCCTTTTCCTTCACAACCCTTCTTTTTGCAGCTATCACATCCATCAACAGATATAGTGACTTGGGTTACTGTAGAAAGAATCGTTGCCGTCTCAGGACAATCATGCTCTCTTATTTCTTCTGTTTTGCAGAGTTCTGCCAGCTTTTCTTCTGTTTCCTTTATTCCATGAACATCTATGCTTTCCTCTATATCAAATTTAGATTCCTTCACTCTATTGTAAATCTCTGGTAAATCTTGAGACATGTGATGGTTTCTCACTTCACCTTTTCCACTGCTAGTACAAACAAGAACACAGTATTTTTCCTTTGGCATTTTGTTTAAGTGGTCATTAGACTTATCTTTTTGACTTTCAAGTATATTTATATTTTTCCTGATGACATTTGATTTTCCCTGAGATTCCGAGATGTTTGTTTTTTCTGAACAACTCTTTTTAGAATTATCAATACATCCACCTAAAGATGTAGTTACGGATGGTTTGAAAAAACTCCTTATTGTAACTGGAGGACGGAATGCCTTACGCTGTGACTTTAAACATACAGGGGTAATAGGTTCTGTGATGAATCTGAGAGAAATTCTGTCAGATAGTTTCTGTTTTGTTGATGGCGACTGTGCTACATCTAATCCAGGTTCAGTTTTTATTCTAATGTCAGTAGCTACACTTGGACTTGAAGTTATGTCTGGTTGTGAACTTGGAGTTTTATCCAGACCAGATTGCTGTGAACTCGACCTTACTGGAGAACTTTGACTTGAAAAGAAGTGGCTGAGTTTCAATTGGTCGTCCTGTGCTATCTGTATAAAAATAAAACACAACCAATTAAGTTGGCAATATGTATGATTTACATACATTTATAACAATGAAATTTACTGGTATCTTCTTATGCCCCAATACACTGTTAGTTATTATATTTTCCAAAAAATAAAAAAATGCTGGATAGCTAATGCAACTGCATACCGAATAAATAAATATACATAGTATTATTTGCAACTGCATATCAAATAAATAAATATACATATTAAGCCTTTTTCAACTGATTCTTATAGTTTGTTCTTCTGTTGTGCTGTTACACCACTGTCCCAGGAAAGAGGGAGGGTTGAGCACTAACAAACATGTTTAACCCCGCCACATTCTTCATGTGCCTGTCCCAAATAAGGAGCCTGTAGTTCAGTGGTTGTCGTTGGTTCACGTCTGTCATATTTCTTTTTCGTTAATTGTTTTGTTACATTTTAGGGCATTAGTTTTCTCAATTGAATTGTTTCATATTTTTCATGTCGGGGCCTTTTATAGCCGACTATATGGTATGGGATTTTCTCATTGTTGAAGGCTGTACGGTTGCCTATAATTGCTTACATCCACTTTATTTGAACTTTGGTGGATAGTTGTCTCATTGGCAATCATACCACATCTCCTTATTTTTAGAATAATCAGAAAACTTTACATTTGATCAATATAAAAAATCCAATGTGGAGCCTAGTGCCTGGGGAATGACAGATTGACTCTGTCATGCTTGGAATATTTGGGCAACTAAATTAAATGGTCTTGAATGACCTCTGCATAAACAGAGTATGGGCTAAAGCTAAAACAAGGGCACTTCAAAGCAAACATTTTATGAAGATTGGATGCAAAAATAATGGTCAATTGTGTTTAGAAGCTCTAGCTTTATTTATACCTTAAAATCAAAAATATGTCTAAGCAATGTTTAGCCAGGATAGGATAGAAATTGTACCTCTGTGGTATCAACTAGATTGTTATGAAAAGATTGGCACATTGGCAGTTGGATGGATATGTTTTTATATTTTTTCTGGAACTAAATTTTGAGATTTTAAATCAAGTAACATTTGTGAGGTAAAGGTTAACCAGACCTGGACTTTTAAGAACTGATCCCCACATGTGTAAATATTTTTCTACTTCAAATATTACCTACCAAATTTGACTTTGAATACAAAAAACAGTGCTACACTTATATACTAGAAAAACGAAGGATATGGAGTATCCATCCATGACACAAAATCAGTACATACCCAGCTAAAAACACACATAAAGCAAAGAAAAATTGCTTTTTTTGCTGTTCTTCATCTCATTGTCACAGTGAGGCCTTCAACACGGAGCATAAAAAACTCTCACCTCAATGCAAGTTTAAGACGGCCCTGTCTGTTCATAATTGTTCAAGGTTAAAGAGTAGAACTTAATTGTATAAAGAATAGTCAATCATTTGTTTGTTTCTTTGATGACAGCAAATGTCTGTAAATTCCTTTTAAAAGCAGGTAATCATAGTAATGTGAAACCTATCCCAAACTACCTTTAAACACTTTGACAACATTGACCTGAATCTGATTTGCTCAAAATGAAATACATCATAAAAACCAATTTAGACTTAACAGAAACAAATTGTTTTTTACTCCACAGCAGACAATATAACAATTTCCACATTAAAGAAAAGTCTTTCTACAAGACAACAAACCAATTAGCTACGACTGCCAAATAGATCAGGGTTGACAGTTGACAGCAGTTAAGGGCCATAATTACATGTGAAACGAATATCTATGGTTGCAGATTAGGACAACCGTCATTCAATTTACCATTAACTGACTCAATTACGACAGTATTCTTACTCTAGCAAAGATAAATCAATGGCTATATCAGTCATTAACCAGTTATAATACACCATAAAAGGCAGAAAATTGTTATTTCTTAGAGAGAGACGTACAAATATTTAGACATGTTAATCTAACCATGCTATTGAGATATCTTTATCATCATCAGTTATGCAATAAATATATCATTTTGCTATGTTTCGCTTGAAGATAATACAACAATAAACCCGCATAAAGTACAGGTTCTTCATATTCATTGCAATACGATTTATTTTAGTGTACTCTATTTCACATTCAGTTATAAAAGTAAAGGATTTACAGACTATAATTACAAATCAATATATAATACTTCTAAAAAAGATCACTTTAATTTGATGTGACTTAGCTTAAAGATTTAAAAAAAATAAATGTGGATAGTGTCCACATGTGGACACAGATGATGCCCCCGCTTGCATATCATATAGTTATAAAGGGACATAACTGAAGAACGGTAAAAGTGACACTACCCAAATTTGAACTTGATCTGAGTTTTGTGGTAATAAGCATTGTGTGTAAGTCTCATAACATTTGGTTGAGGCTAACTTAAGTAGAGAACAGAAACTAAAAATTCAGCAATTTTTCTATTTGTAATGATGCATAACTCTAGAACGGTTGTGTATAAGTTTTACAACATTTGGATGAGACAAACTAAAAAATTCAGCAATTTTTATGTTTATAATGGGACATAACTCTAGAATGGTAAAAGTGTTGCCACCTAATTTCGTACTTAATCTGTATTATGTAGTAATTAGCATTGTGTATAAGTTTCATAACATTTGGTTGAGGCAAACTCAAGTTAGAGAACTGAAACAAAAAAAATGTACTTGATCTTAACTGAGTTTTGTTGGAATGAATATTGTGTATAGGTTTCACAATGTTTGGCTGGGGAAAACTTCAGTTACAGAATGGAAACTAAAAAATTTTGCAATCTTTCTATTTATAAAGGGGCATAACTCAATAATGGTTAAAGTGACACTACCCAAATTCAACTTGATCTGTGTTTTATCAGTGGTAGTCAAAATTAAACATTGCATTGTATAAAGCATTGATTGTAGTTGATTCAACTATAATCATGGTCAAAGGAAGATAACTCCAATTTTAAAAATATATTATATAAACTTGATATTTAGAAGAAAATAAAAATTTTGCAATTTTTCCTTTTATAAAGGGGCATAACTCTAGATCGGTTAAAGTGACACCACCAAAATTCAAACTTGATCTGTGTTTTGTGGTAATAAGCATTGTGTATAAGTTTCATAACATTTGGTTGAGGCAAACTTAAGTTAGAGAATGGAAACTAAAAATTATGCAATATTTCCTTTTATAAAGGGGCATAACTCTAGATCGGTTAAAGTGACGCCACCAAAATTCAAACTTGATCTGTGTTTTGTGGTAATAAGCATTGTGTATAAGTTTCATTACATTTGGTTGAGGCAAACTCAAGTTAGAGAACGGAAACCAATTTCGGGACGTACGTACGTACGTACGTACGTACAGACGGACAAGGGTAAAACTTAATGCCCCCTCCGGTACGGCGGGGGCATAAAAATTCTAAACATCTCTCAAAATGAAGAATTCCAATTAAAGTTACTCTCTCCTTGAAATAGGTTGACTCATACCACATGAACTACAAATCTTATTTGACATATATTTACATTTTCAAATGCTTTTGACTACTGAGTTTCATAGTAAGCTACATTAGCCCAAAACTATAACCTGATACAGGATGAATTGACTAAAGTATCAGTTTGTTTTTTGTTGAAATGGCAGCAAAAAACATTTCAAAATTTGTGAATTTTTAACAAAACTATGGCTTATCATTAATATTTTCACCCTCTTTAAATAAATGAACTGTTAACACAGAGATATGTCTCATGTTTTGTTGTTTTGACGGTATAATGCAAATTTTGAAATTAAAATGGCAACATTTAAACTATGCAAATCATTCAAAATCATGACTGTTAAAGGTGCAGGGCTAAATAACCTCCATGGAAATGTGAAATGCCAATGCTAATATATCTGCATTTTAAATATCATAGACCTACCACTTAAAGTTCCCCTTCAACTGACCTAATCACAAACTAATACATGTAAACTAAGCAAAAGTTTCAAAGTCAATAAATCATGACTGAGGGGGTGGGGCAAAATAATCTCCAAGGAAATGAGATGTGCCAATACTAATACAACTGCATACCAAATATCATTGACCCACCACTAGTGGTTCCCCATAAACTGACCTAACCACAAACTATCAATTACATGTAAACTAAGAAAAAGTTTTAAAGTCAATATACCATGACTGAGGGGTGGGGCAAAATAATCTCAATGGAAATGAGATGTGCCAATGCTTATACAACTGCATATCAAATATCACTGACCTACCACAAGTGGTTCCCCATAAACTGGACCTAATCACAAAATAATACATTGTTGTGTACCTGTGATTCAATTTAAAATGTGCCATCCCAAGCATCCGTAAGTTGCAGATACTCAGTAGGCATAAAACATGCTTTATGGCTGTTTATTACTGTAGATTCAGAAATTATTTGCGTGGTTTTTATCAATGGGAATAATGCGACTCCTTGAGTATCACAATACACCTTATCTCTATTTGTCCGCCATTGCTGGACATCATACAGGTTCCCGTAAAATTTTGACGTCACAAAAAAAAATGTCTGAAGCCACAAACGAAAAGTTATTGTTGTGTGACATCAGTTGTTCAAGTATCGCAGATTCTCGGGTCAAGCGTCACAGATTCCCAAATAGCGATAAGGTCTATAAAAAGAACTCACATTCTGATATCTGATACATATATCTGTATGTATCTTTTCCTAAAATCGCAATAATTCACCTCACATTTTTTTTCATTCTTCAAAATTCGCAATAATAAATGCACTCAATAATTTTCTGATTATACAATACTTTATTCCAATATTAATATTTAGGCAATATCTGCAAGGCTGGTTGACGACGAAGAGAAAAAGTAATTTTCACAAAATTTACAAATTCAGGTTAAAAATATGTCATACAGAACAGTATCTTTACAAGTACACATGTAATTAGTAAATTTAGATAACAATATACTGTTAACACAGAGATATGTCTCGCCTATTTGTTATATTGATAATGCAAATGCATACATGTGATGGACTGTGAAACTCAGATCAGGAGATCGGGAAATTTTGGTCAGGAGATTAGGACTCAGATCAGGAGGTTTTTAATCGACATAAATTTTGTCGTAAATGAAACAGTGTGCTGTAGAATTGTCTTTTAAAGTGTGTTTTCTTCAACTTTCCATCTGAATGTATTATGTTTATAGTACCCTTGTACTTATAAAGTTTCTCTATCTTTATTCAACATGTTCAATCTAACATTCTTTTTTGTTTGGTATGTTCTTTAAATTTTTTATTTCATATCTCTTTTCTCATTATTCTTTTTACCAACCATTGCAATCAGAACATTTGTTTAACTATCTGCAAATCTTTTCTCATTATTCTTTTTACCAACCATTGCAATCAGAACATTTGTTTAACTATCTGCAATTAGATCTTTATTACATGTTAAGAAACACATTCAAAAAAGTGAAGAGGGTCATAGTTGCTATATAAATTTCAATTTAAGCCTTGAAAGGAAGTATAGAACCCTCAAATAATTTTCAAATTATTATTTTTTTATTTGTCCTAAGACATTTAAAATCATTTAAGTACCATCCTTCTATGATTATTTGTTCAATTTATATTTTATTTATATTCTTTTAAAAATTTACATAATGAACCATGACTGAAGGTACAGGACTAAAAAATCTCCATGGAAATGAGATGTGCCAATGCTAATACAACTGCAAACCAAATACCATTGACTTTTCATAAGTTGTTCCCTTTAAACAAACCTAAACACAAACATTAACTTGTAAACTATGTAAAAGTTTCAAAGTCAATGAACAATAATTAGGGGGTGGGGTTATATAATCTCCATGGAAATGAAACTTGCAAATGTCAATACATTTGCATACGAATATCATTGTCTTAACATTAGTGGTTCATCTTAAACTGACCTAATCACAAACTAATACATGTAAACTAAGCAAAAGTTTCAAAGTCAATAGACCATGACTGAGGGGTAATGACCAAATATTCCCCATGGAAATGAGATGTGCTAATGCTTATACAACTGCATACCAATTATCATTGATCTACTACTAACAGTTCCCCTTAAACCGACCTAATCACAAACTAATACATGAAAACTAAGAAAAAGTTTCAAAGTCAATAGACTATGAATGAGGGGGCTGGGCCAAATAATCTCCATGGAAATGAGATATGCCAATGCTTATACAACTGCATACCAAATATCACTGACCTACCACTAGTGGTTCCCCATAAACTGACCTAATCACAAACAAATACATGTAAACTAAGCAAAGTTTCAAAATCAATAGACCTTGACTGAGGGGGCAGGGCCAAATAATCTCCATGGTAATGAGATGTGCCAATGCTAATACAACTGCAAACCAAATACCATTGACTTTTCATAAGTTGTTCCCTTTAAACAAACCTAAACACAAACATTAACTTGTAAACTATGTAAAAGTTTCAAAGTCAATGAACCATAATTAGGGGGTGGGGTTATATAATCTCCATGGAAATGAAACTTGCAAATGTCAATACATTTGCATACGAATATCATTGTCTTAACATTAGTGGTTCATCTTAAACTGACCTAATCACAAACTAATACATGTAAACTAAGCAAAAGTTTCAAAGTCAATAGACCATGACTGAGGGGTAATGACCAAATATTCCCCATGGAAATGAGATGTGCTAATGCTTATACAACTGCATACCAATTATCATTGATCTACTACTAACAGTTCCCCTTAAACTGAACTAATCACAAACTAATACATGAAAACTAAGAAAAAGTTTCAAAGTCAATAGACTATGAATGAGGGGGCTGGGCCAAATAATCTCCATGGTAATGAGATGTGCCAATGCTTATACAACTGCATACCAAATATCATTGACCTACCACTAGTGGTTCACCATGAACTAGACCTAATCACAAACAAATACATTGTTGACGCCACTGCCGTCGCCGCCGGAAACAGCATACCTATGTCTCGCTTTTTGACTCCGTCAAGGCGAGACAAAAACTAAAATACAAATTCAGTATCTTTAAGGAAAGGTAAAAGAATGAGCAAATGTCATTTTCAGTTTGTAATTGAGTCAATATGTCAACTTGAACTAGACAAGAAAGTTATTTGTAACTTCAAATTACACAATTATGATATTGAAAATTGAGATGAACACTAACAGGGATAGTCATGATGATCTACCTTTCTAATCTTTCTGTTTTATAATGATATAGTATTTATAGTATCAATGGCAAGGTTGTCTGATCAGTCTGGTCATGGGATATAATTTTTTAGAAAAAACAACTAATTATATATTCATATAAGTATTACTTGACTACAAAATTTGGTTCAAATTGGATGAGTATATGGACACAGGATATCAAGTGGACTAATCATATGCCCTCCTTTACAATTACTGTGGATTCATTACTATTCATGGGATACATATTTTCGTTGATTTCGTGGGTATAGTAAAACCACAAATTAAAAAGTTCAACAAGTTTCAAATTTCTATTGGGTTGTTTTTACCGACTTTGGGAAAACCACAAAACCAAATATCCACGTAAATGTAAAATTTCTTCAATCCACGAAAATTAGTATCCACGAAAACAAATGAATCCATAGTATCTTACATTTTTTCTAACTGATTTGACATTTCAGAATTCAAAGCATTATGGGTAATATTATAAAGGCATGTACCAGAATATTGTGATTGGTTAACCCTATCTTTAATGGATATATTAAGCTAATGGTTTAATGTTACTTTTCACAGAACAAAGACTTTTTTTCTTGTCTTTTCATCCTGTTGTTGAATTAGAATCAGCAGAAAGGGTATTAATCAAAGACAAAAACACTTCCTGCTTTCACAGTGCAGAATCTAGTGTTAAAATATTACCTCCCCTGTAAACACTGAAAACTTTTTCTTTTCAATGTTTGTTCCTTTTTAGCAAAGGCGCTCATAAGAAGAGCGACTTTATTATTGTTCTTGTGTCATGGGTTTTGTCACTGTTCAGAAAGTGAATATGTCCATGGCTGGCTGACTACAGTTTTGGATTATGAATTAAGATGAATTAAGCGTTCAAATGAAGTATGCACTATTTGTTCTCTTCTTTATACAAATGATTCAGTTAGTATATTCCACTCAGCAAGATACCTACTTGAGAAGAGCTTTTGGTTGATTGATTGTGCCAAATAATTCATGATACTTGTACTTACATTTTACACTAGAAAATGTTAAAAGCTTGAAAAAAATTTAGTTTTTTAATCTCAAGCTCTTTATTCAGCTCAGATTTACATTACTGATTTGAAAATTTAATCTACAAAGTCATCTGAACATTACAGTAAAGAATTTTCACTTGCTAGCTGGCAACTCATTATGAAATAAATTGTCCTTTGAAATAAAATAATCATTAGGTAAGGGAAATACTCAGATTGAAGTTTTAGAAAATTTTACTAATGTACTTAAACAAGAGTGCACATGCTGAAATGTCTCGCCTGCTTTACTGACCATTGATTTTATGTTGAAACTCTCAAAGATAAAGGTTTTACTAAAAGCATCACAGAAACTCAGGTCAGATAAATCCTATCAGACATATACAGTACACCTTACAAAATTTGTATACACAAAATATAGTGACCTATTGCTTATGATAATTGAAAAACAGACCAAAAAAAAAAAAAATTAACATTGACCAATGAACCATGAAAATGATGTCAAGGTCAGATGATACTTCAAGACAGACATGTAAAACTTACAATCATTCCATACACCAAATATAGTTGATCTATTACTTTAGTACTTGAAAAACAGACCAAAACACAAAAACTTAACATTGACCAATGAACCATGAAAATGAAGTCAAGGTCAAATGATACCTGCCAGACAGACATGTATACCTTAAAATCATTCCATACACAAATATAGTTGACCTTTTGCTTACAGTACTTGAAAAACAGACCAAAACACAAAAACTTAACATTACAAGTGAACCATGAAAATGATGTCAAGGTCAGACGATATCTACCAGACAGACATGTACACCTTAAAATCATTCCATACACAAAATATAGTAGACCTTTTGCTTATAGTACTTGAAAAACAGACCAAAACACAAAAACTTTACATTGACCAATGAACCTTGAAAATGAGGTCAAGGTCAGATGAAACCTGCCAAACTGACATGTACCCATTACAGTCATTCCATACACCACATATAGTTGACCTATTGCTTATAGTATTTGAGAAACGGACCTTATCATGTAACTTTATGATCCATGAAATGAGGTTGAGGTCAGGTGAACCTTGTCTGACGGACATGTAGACGTTGCAAGGAACACATATACCAAATATAGTTATCCTATTACTCATAATAAGTGAGAAATTCACATAACAAAAAAACTCAAATATTTTTTCAAGCAGTTGCTGAACCATGAAAATGAGGTCAAGGACATTGGACATATGACAGACGGAAACTTCGTAACATAAGGTATCTGCATACAAGATATAAAGCATTCGGTTCTTCTACCTTCTGAAATATAAAGCTTTATACAAATAGTTTACGCTGCTGTCGCCGGATAGTAATACCTATATCTCGCATACTGCGACATTCGTGGCAGGCGAGACAAAAACTGCATTTGTGACTGTCAAATCCCCCAAAAGATGGTTGCAACTCTTCAAATACAGTACTGTTATTCCTTAATTTTTGTTGTATTCATTTAATTTCACTAATCCTACATAAGATCATAAGTATTACCATATGAGCTTGTATCCTGTTCTGTTCTGTTAAAACTTTCTCAACCTGTCTGACTAAAACTTCTGGATAGCGGACCCCTACCACTCTTTCACCATTATTCAGTTTTACTCTAACAACCCGTATTGTGGCTTCAGATTTACTGTAAAAACAAAAGAAAATCTTCTTATAATGGCAATTTGGATATTTTCAAATACTTTTTTTTAAAGCTTTCTTAAACTAGTGTTTAGGACTGGCTCAAGTGTTAATGGTTTGGTAAGAGCTGTTTAGCCAGCAAATAATGTTTGCAAAAGAGCAGGCTTATTGTTGGGTAAATGCTGTTTAGCCAGCTATTAATGTTAAGAGCTGATAATATGTAGAATGACTGTTTAAATTGTGTTGGAATTGGTTCATTTGTATTTGTGCATTTGTGAAAACAGGGCATGTGACTAAATATGGCGTTTGTAGGAAATAAGTATTTCAATTCCTAGATTGAAGAAAATAACCTCTTTTCCTTTCAGATTTCAAATTCAGTAGCGCAACAAATATTTCTGCTTTTTTTATAAACACAAGAATTAAAATGACATCTACCATTTAAAATACTAACCTGAGATTAAGTTTTACAGCAAATTTATTTAGAGTGGCTTCCAATAATGTCATGTGTGACACAATACTTCCACATAGTAGGTGCATTCTGTAACATCTACTTCCCACTGAAAAAAGATTGATTGTTTGTGTTTAACACCACTTTAAGCACTATTGGCAGAAAAAAAGACAACAGTATCTCAGGGGCGGATTCAGGCGGGGGCGTGGCGGGCGTGTGCCCCCCTTAAAATTTGCAAAGCATGGGTTGTCCTCAGATTGATAAAGAATGTTTTGATAATTTTACCTCAAAAAAAATTTCGCCTTGCTCCGCTCAACAAAATTTTAAGTTTGCGCCCCTGGATACTGAAGAGTTTGAAAATTTCCTTCACAGCAGTTATGTATTTACTGTGGATTTATTTATTTTCATGGGTACCAATTTTCATGGATTGAGGAAAAATTGGGTTTTCATAGATATTATTGACTTTGTGGTTTTACAAAGTCTACACTCAAGCTTATAGTAAATTTGTACTTCATTGAACATTTTAATTTATGGTTCACCTGTACCAATGAAATCCACTGTACATGCTATAAAAACTGGAAACTTTTTAGATATCATATATTTTTTTAAATAGTAATTCCCCACTTATACAAGCATAACAAAGATGACAAAGACCACATCCAGAAGAAACTTTGGTATAACAAACAACTAAAACTTACATTCTAAAAAGCTGTAAAAAAACGTACAAAAACTTTTTCCTTTGAACTCACTTCACATATACATGTATAATTTACTGTTGTATTATCTTTTTATTATCTACACATAAAAAATTGTAAATTTTTTTAAAAGAGAGGAGAAAGATACCTAATGGGCATTCAAGTCAGTAGCCTCTGCTGGCCTTTGTTAGTCTTGTATGTTTTTTAATTTTAGTTCATTCATATTTTTTGGAGTTTAGTGTGACGTCCATTTTCACTGAACTAGTACACATTTTTGTTTAGGGGCCAGCTGAAGCCCGCCTCCAGGTGTGGGATTTTCTCGCTGTGTTGAAGACCCATTGGTGGCCTTTTGCTGTTTTCTGCTCTTTGGTCAGGTTGTTGTCTCTTTGACACATTCACCATTTCCATTCTTAATTTTATTCACACTCACAAGCTCCATGGCAAAAAAACGAAAAAGACCAAAAGACAAACAACAGTACATGTATACAAAACACAAGATAGAAAACTGAAGACTGAGGCAACACAAACCCAACCAAAAACAGGGGGTGTTCTCAGGTGCTCCGGAATCGTAGGCAGATCCTGCTCCACATGAGGTATCTGTCGTACATACTCATTTCTCTTTTAACAAATTTAAAAAGTTCTTTTTTTATGCTTCAGATGAAAAATGTGAAAAATGTAGTGATCCATCTAGTACATCTCCTTACAGCAATGGATCGGCAGGTACTCAAAACTTCATGGCAACAATATTTCTTACACTCTTGTTACATTTATGTCTGACATAAGGAGCTCAACATCAACAGAATGATTATTCAGCAGACGGACTCTATGTCAGTGACAGATGCATATACCTAGTGAGAATGGAGACGACATTTAATGCAGAAAAATAAGAATTAAGGAATACAGGTATTGTTTTCAAAGGAAAAGAGAGAAGATACTAGATTTCTGAACTGTAAATAAACTGATTCATGTTGTGATAACCTTTCTTTGTAGGGTAAACAGGATTTCATTTTCCAATAATTTGGGAAATGAGTTATACTTCTTTTTTCTATTGTAAAGTGTATACTATACAAACAAGGTATAAATCTTCTGTTAAAACTTTTTAATACCTGCAACATACGTGGATTTTTGTTTTTGTTTGTTGTTGCAATACTAAAGGAACCTCAGGGGGCCACTTCCTATATACAGGGTGATAGGTTGTGCCGCTGGAAATAGGTCGCTTTTTCCAGCATGAAAATATGCGATACATGGGAAAAACTATCAAAAATATATGATAAGGTCAATAAAGTTCCTATTACTTATATGAAAGGCCCTGTCACAGCAGAAGTCTCGCCATAAGTAAACATTACATAAGGAATCTGAGCTCCTAGCAAAGGTGATATTTTCTCGATTTCACGAAACCCAACCAATATGGGAAAGTTGACATTTTTACCTTCGCAATATATGAAAAGGTATACATTTTTAAAATCTAAATTATATGAAAAGGGTGGGGTAAGAGAACCCCAGAGATATCCCTATCAATTAAGTATTGAAGAAGCCCCCCCCCTCCCCTCCCCTCCCCCGGAGAAAAGAACAAACTGTTAACCATGTTTTGTAGGTATCAAAATATTATCTCACATTTTGATTTTTTTTTTACATCAAGATGAATAAGGGTTGTCATTTTGTCATTTGTTTGTGCCCCCTGTGCATATTGGTCCTGCATATTTCAATAAAATTCAAGAAAGGTGTTGAATTGTACAAAATGAACAGAACTTTGAACCTTGAATCAAAGATCAATCCATATTGTGTGTATCTGTACCTCTTCAGCCCTTTCAATAATCAGGAAATCAAAATTCAACATTAAATTTTCAGAGGTTGTAGAATAATAGTATTATTCAATAATTTCATTTGACTTGATATTCAGAAAATAACTATTAAAATGCTTCTTGCAGTTTCTTTAAAAGCGAAACTAATCCACTTAAAATTTCTGAGAATTTGGGCTTGACCCAAATGACTAATATAATAATTCCACAAACACTATGCTTTCCACTCACTGGTATTTTGCAAAGTCAAAGTATGACACCATGAATAAAAAAAAAGTCCCAAGTTCAATGATACTTCCAAATACTACTAAAAAAACATCTTGGGATTTTTTTACTACAAAAATTGTTTAACATTGCAATTACCTACTGTGGATTCATTTTTTTTTCTTCAAAAATTGGTATCCCATGAATAATAATGAATCCACTGTATAAGGCACTATGATTTTGTATAAAGAATGTTTCACTAAAACTCACCTCTACATGTTTTGCTGTGTTTACAAGATTTACCATGTATACACTGTTCCTTTGACTGGCTATATAATTCTTTCCATAATTTCTCTGCAAATTACAACATACATACTTAAAATATAGACTTGATTTACATGCAGTTACAGAACTGTTTCAATAAGAATTATTCTGACAAGAAATGTGCATATATGATAATTTGGGGTTTACCTGGCTTTGCAGGGGTGATACATGATTTTTCAATTTTTACACCCTTAAACAATCAACAATATAAAAGCAATAGTCCCTGTAGATATATCTGTTTTAATGTATTCTGTATAGTAGTATACATTTCTAGATATTCATTTTAGTCTATACATTGTACAAATACAAATGAATGGTTGTGAAATTTAATCATGTTTACATTAATACTTGTTTTTTTTTGTCATAATTATGCTGTACACATGTTTTATTCACTCTGTACCCTACTTGTAAGAGAAAAAAAGGCAACAAGTACTATGAATTCATTTATTTTCGTGGATACCAATTTTCATGGATTGAGAAAAAAATTGTATTTTCGTGAATATTGGATTTCATGGTTTTTTCAAAGTTTGCATACAAGCCTATAGAAAATTTATACTTTGTTGAACATCTAAATTTGTGGTAAACCTTTACCAATGAAATCTACAAAATCGGTATCCAACTAATAATAATGAACCCACAGTATAATGCTTGTCCAAGGTAAAGAAAGAGTTTCTTGTGAGTTTTATTAACTAATATGTTCGTAACATAATTTTGTATTTCATTGACATTTAATTCTGTTACATTCTGATACTAGTTACATCTATTCCACAGGACTAGTAGTGGTTTGCTTCAAAGCTGAATTATGGTTAGACAGCTTATTCTCTGTTAATTTACATGTAATATTTGGTTACAGTATTTTGCCTTCTAACTTCTTTAATTGAATTTGGTTATGAAGCTTTGAATGCCTGTACAAGCCAATAATTTATATAAATATATATATTTCATCTGAAATTTAGCCCAACAATGTTATATCTGCAAATTTGCTCTAGCAAATTTTTGTCTTTCTCTCAGCAGGATTCGAACCAATGCTTCGCTGACATTCTGGCATACACCCCTCTGCTGTATCCAGCACCATAGAGTAAACCATTCAACTAACTAGGCTATATATATATTTGTTGTCTGTACCCTTTCCAAAACAGGATTTACATCTCCTTCTATAGCATAAGTGTGAATACATCTACTGTAAATTCAGAAATTTTTGAAATGTTTTTATTATTGTAAAATTTGCGAGGAGACAGGTGTCACAAAAATAAAAACTCGCATTTCCAATTTTGATAGCATTATTTGTTTGCAGTATTTTCTGAAAATGCAATAATCAATATCGCATTTGTTGTCGACTGCTAAATAATTGCAATATTACATGTATGCAATAATTTCTGAATTTTACAGTACTTGATCTGCAGCTGGGAAATGTTTTTTGCAGGTTTTAACACTTAATTCATTCAAGTGTTTAGTGAAGTTGCACACATTACCAGTATGTTCTATATATTTTACAAGATTCTTCAATTACAACCAGATTCTTCAAATGGCCTTCAAAATGATCAAATGACTATCGTACACCAATGTACTCATCATTTTTCAATCCTTGTTATAGATAATCATTGACAGATCACATAAAAATTCTATTATCACAAAGTGCTTTTGTTTTACCCCAGCTTTACAGTTTACTTTGATCAATAGTTCTTTTGTTATCTAATACACTAATTGAGAGGTAAAATGAGGAATATGGTTAAACTAGAACAAATATTTACAATCTTTTCAATATTTGTCTGTTTGTAGCATGCAACATTGATAATAGAATATCTTAAAGATTCAACTGAACATTTTTTCTCATGTCATTATGTCATTTGAGCTGCTTTTGCATCTCCGAATTTTGGGCCTCACAGTTGTTTTGATTGAGACGGTCTGCCCAATTTTAGTACTTTTTGAAATACAGATACCAAATTTTTCTTCCATAATATGTATAGAAAATGCTTGTATCTGATTTGATCCTCACAGGAATAAAGAACCAATATTACAGTAATATTCTTAATTTGTCTCATAGGAGTTACCGAAATATCTAATTTTTATCTTACTGCAATAGATCAAAAGTGAAATTTTGCTTTTGATGCACATTTCTTGAGTTAATGTTTTTGAAAACTAAGGCAAAGTGAAAATCATCAAAATCTAACATAACCTCCATTTTGTAATGAGAAAAAAAACAGAATTATTTTATTGTTTATTGTCTTTTAAAGCTGAAATGAAATTCAATGAATTTTTTAAAACATTCCAGAAACCTTCAAATTCCATTAAAGATATCTTCGTGTGAATCTTATAGTGTTATAAGTCCACTTTTGTTAAAAATGGAGATAGCTATATATCTGAGATCCAAGTGCAATGGTCTATCTCCCTATACAACTATAATACGAGATTTCTACACTCTAAGAGTTTTTGTCATAACTACACTGTTCTATCTCCACACTCCCATTGGATTATAATGGCTTATAAGCAGCTTATTCATCCAGTCAGTTCCATACCTGTCAACCTATGACAATGAAAATGCAGGTCATGACCTGTATAGAAGAATGAAATCTCAGGTCATAACGCATACGAACTTTTTCGAGCTGAATTTCAGTATTTAGTGGACATTTTTCTTATAATTTATATCAAAGTTTCCAAAACATGTCCACATGGTTAAGTAATTTAAAATTGTACATTTAATGATTTCATTGCACTTAAAGGCCAGATAGATTTGTGTTACATTGCCTTAATTTCTTTTCATATTCATTCCATAACATACATTTCCATGACATACATTGTGCCAACTTGTGATTTCTTCACATACATTTGTACAGCTTTTAACCAATTGAACATGTCAACAACAAATGGATGTTTTTAACAACCTTGACTGGCTATACAGCCCTTGCAAGGTTGGTACAGAACATGTCAAAAGTTGATATTAGAGTATAATAAAATAAAGTTAAACAATTAAAGGAGGTATAGATGAAAAAAGTAATTTTCAAAATTTTTATTTTTTAATTGTTCTGAGGTAGAACTAGAGGCTCTCAAGAGCCTATGTCGCTCACCTGTATTTACTGATGCTTTGGAAATCATGTAAAATAAGGTTAAAATCATAATTAATAGTATTAGATAATAGATATTATAATGATATCTAAGATAATAACAAAAAAATGCAAAATTTTTGTAAAATTACTAACTCAGGGGCAGCAACCCAACAACGGGTTGTCGGATTCGTCTGAAAATTTCAGGGCAGATAAATCTAAATCTGATGAACATTTTTGCCACCTGTCAGATTTGCTCTAAATGCTTTAGTTTCAGAGATATAAACCAAAAACTTCATTTTTAACCAAGTCGGCCATGATGGTTGGAAGGCGGGGTCATCGGACAAAATTTTTAAACTAGATACCCTAATAATGATTTGGCCAAGTATGGTTAAATTTGTCTCAGTAGTTTCAGAGAAGAAGATTTTTGTAAAAGATTACAAAAATTTACAAAAAATTGTTAAAAATTGACTATTAAGGGCAATAACTCCTTAAGGGGTCGACTGACAATTTTGGTCATGGCAACTTATTTGTAGATCTTACTTTGCTGAACATTATTGCTGTTTACAGTTTATCTCTATCTATAATAATATTCAAGATAATAACCAAAAACTGCAAAATTTCCTTAAAATTACCAATTCAGGGGCAGCAACCCAACAACGGGTTGTCAGATTTGTCTGAAAATTTCAGGGCAGATAGATCTTGACCTGATTATCAGTTTTACCCTATGTCAGATTTACTCTAAATGCTTTGGTTTCAGAGATATAAGCCAAAATCTACATTTTACCCCTATGTTCTATTTTTAGCCATGGCGGCCATCTTGGTTGGTTGGCGGGGTCATCGAACAAATTTTTAAAACTAGATACCCTAATGATGATTGTGGCCAAGTTTGGTTAAATTTGGCCCAGTGGTTTCAGAGGAGAAGATTATTGTAAAAAGCTAACGACGACGACGACGACGCTGACGGACGACGGACGCCAAGTGATGAGAAAAGCTCACTTGGCCCTTCGGGCCAGGTGAGCTAAAAATAAGTAAAAGCATTATTCTGATATGTTTTTGCATTCAATTCATTTTAGATTTAATCTTTTTACAAAAAAAAACATAAGTTTAAGGAGTATATTGTGAATTGACAAAAAAGGGGAAGTAACTCAACTTGTTTTTAAAACAACTTTGAAATACACAAATTATTTACAACCTAAAGCTAAGGTAATTGGTGTTAATTAACAGTGTGCTTGACACCAAAGCTGTCAAGTGAAGCCATGCACTGAAATGGGTCACTTGATTTGAGTTTACACAGCTAGTTGAACTTCTTGTCCAGGAAGAATTACGAATTTGCTGGTATTTCATAGGAAAATCACTTTATATGAAATCAGTCTGAAGGCTTAGGAATCCGGGTGAAAACAGGTTATTTTCCGAATTCCCGGTTATTTGGCCACCCGGTGGGTGTCCCGGGTGACCCCGTAGAATTGTGAAAATCTCGGGTCACACCTGCAGGATCCCGGTCAGTTGACAGGTATGCAGTTCAGATAAAAGTATTTTTATAATGTTGTATCTCAACTATTTCTCATGTATTTTTGCTGTTAAATAATTGTTATCAAAATTATCTCAGTAGTACGATGATTAAATGGTTTGCATGGTTTGAACTCAATCTATGAGCAATTCTTAGCAAATCCAGCGGTACAGAATTGGGGATATTACACAGGTAAAAAATCCATAGTCTATCTCCAATGGTAATCTAGGGATTAATTTCTAAAATTACATTGTTTGTAATGAAATGTTCTATCTCCAAAAAAGAGGATGCTTTATTTATAAGTTGCTTGTCTATCAAAAAAACAATCAAATAAAGAGTTACTCTTCATGTACGTACATTAGATTCCTATATAACTTTTTATGTCTCAGTCAAATATCTATGATACTGCGCTTTTAAACTTTAATTCAAATATTTACCACTATTACCAAATGGGAAATACATCATTAAAAGATTTACACGACAATATATTGATCAAAATATGAATCTAATCATAGCATGCTGGACAATGTATTTTCTAATAGAAAGTTCTAAAATGATCTTAAAGAAATCATCAGTCAAAAAGCAAGCATCAGTTTGTTACTTTAGGATAAACCAGAAAATCAGTTTTATCCTGCACTAACATATAGTATGTCTTCAATTTTAAAGACTATACCATATGGTTTGAAGACTTAATAAAAGAACAGAGTTCCAATGTCCTCCGTGTTGCACATATTTTATCTGTCCATAGGCAATAACTAAAAAAATTTTTTTATAAATATCTTAGAGAAATGAAGGCTTGAGAGCTAATGCAATGAAATTTCCAATACAAATCAATATTTCCAAGGGGTGCAACTCTTTTTAAAATATTTGATTGGAACTGATTTTTCGAATTTGTCAGAGACATTGCTGATATAAACCTTTGATATAAATTTGATAAAAATCTGGCAAAAATTGTACATGTGAGAGCTTACAATGCAATTTTCCATAAAAATAAATATTTCCAAGGGACATAACTCTTTTAAAAATAATTGAATGCCACTGATTTTTTAAGTATCAAAGACATTGTTGATATAAAACGATGATATAAGTTTCATAAGAATCTGGCAAGAATTGTACACATACGAGCACTAACAATGCAATTTTCCATATAATTAATATTTCCAAGGGTCATAACTCTTTTAATAATAGTTGATAGTCACTGATTTTTCAAACTTGTATAAGACATTGCTGATACACGTATAAACCTATGATATAAGTTTTATAAAAATCTGGCCAGAATTGTACACAAGAGCGATTACAAGACTGGATGAACAGACATGTCACATGGGGGACAAAAAAAAGATGACAGGTACATCTATACGGGCTGGTTTTCTACTGTGACACAGAGTAATATTTTAGTTATTGATGTGCATTTCTTAAATATCAACTTAAATTTTTTTATCCTTACAAATAAAGATTCAAATATGGTAGGCATATTTTGAAAGAAGTTAATGTTGTGAATTTTTTGTATATACATAATAGTTAATTTGTATTGTAACAAAACATTTGTGACTACATTCCCATAAATTTTGGGAAAATTTACCTGTACAATACTGACATTTTTTTTTAATCTATTGATTTTTGTTGTATGTAAAATAGCGTAGAGACACACTCTAGACATATATGTATATATTGTTTAATACATTTTACACATTTGTAATTTTATAAGAATATTTATAGTTTACTATTATGTTCATATACTGTAAAATATTTTTGCTGTGTATGATATATGTATTTTTAGTAAAAACTTTGTAGAGGAATCTTTTTTGCTTACCATGTTGACCAATACACAATTTGCACTTTACAATTTTATATGCTGTGTGTAAATGGTTTCATACTGAAATCAATGAACATTTTAGGTGACTGTCTGTCATACATACAAACATTTGTCTTCAATTTTTATAACATCCAACAGCTCTTTACATGAATGGCTAAAATTGGCTGGCACTTTAGAGCAATGCCAGTCTTGAAAACAAAGTAAACTGGATGATGGATAAATCTTAAACATGCTTGTTTAAAACATGCATAGGAAAGAATCTAGCAACTCTGTATTTCAATGTGATTTACAATCAATCAACATTAAACATATTTCTTTTTCTGTATTTATCCTGTTGGGTTTATTATCATAACTTTGCATATGGACATTAAGCAATAGCATAGATCTGTTTAAAGATTTGCAAGTCTGTTAATTTTACGCAGACTAGAGCAGTTTAAAGATTTGTTAGTTCATTTTGCATGTGTTTAAAGATCTGTCAGTTCATTTAGCATAGGCAATTTAAAGATCTGTTTGAGAGGCCATTTTGCATAGAACTGTTTCAATATTTGATAGTCAGCTCATTTTGCACTGAACTGTTTAAAGATATGTTAGTCAGCTCATTTTGCTTAAAGCAACTTAAAGATCTGTCAGTCAGCTCATTTTGCATAGAACTGTTTAAAGATCTGTTATTCAACTCATTTTGCATAGAGCTGTTTAAAGATCTGTTAGGCAGCTCATTGTGCATAGAGCTGTTTAAAAGATGTTAGTCAGCTCATTTTGCATAGAACTGTTTAAAGATCTGTTATTCAACTCATTTTGCATAGAGCTGTTTAAAGATGTTATTCAACACATTTTGCATAGAGCTGTTTAAAGATCTGTTAGTCAGCTCATTGTGCATAGAGCTGTTTAAAGATCTGTTAGTCAGCTCATTTTGCATAGAACTGTTTAAAGATCTGTTAGTCAGCTCATTTTGCATAGAACTGTTTAAAGATCTGTTAGTCAGCTCATTTTGCTTAGAGCAGTTGCAAAGAGCTGTTTAAAAATTTGTGAAGTATTGAAGCCATAAAAATATTAAAAATAGCATATATCTCTTTTTTAGTCCATGATTGTAAAGTGTTAAACAAACTTTGTTTAATTATTTTTACAAATGTTACCTAGCTGTGTCAATGAACTTATCCCTTCACCCAATGATGGAGGTATTCAGAAAACTTTCTACTTTAATGTTTAATGAATTTGAATGGATAAATATTAAAAAATACATGGAGTAATATAAAGAATACATATGTTACAGAACCCTTGGGAAGCAGTACAATATGTTCATATCTCTTGTAACTGCAAAAAAAATTTGAACTATCTAAATAAAACTTTTTAAGTTAATGTATGAACCAATTATTAATTCATAATTTCTTTTGATTGAACCTTGTCCTAATACAGAAATCTGATACAGAACAAGAAATATAACTGTAGATTTATTAATATTCGTGGATACCAATTTTCGTAGATTGAAGAAAAATTGTATAAATTGGATATTGAATTTCATGGTTTTGTTAAAATCTGCATACAAGCTTATGAAAAATGTGTACTTTGTTGAACATTAAAATTCGAGAATTACCAATACCCACGAATATTAATGAATCCACAGTAGTAATAATTTCAGTGCATAATATTAATTCATCATATCTGTTTCCCATGCTCAATTAAAATCTGCTTAAATTTTTTGCAAAATTTTAGGAAATAACATGCATCATTCACCTGCACCAAAGCTGAATATAATATGTTATTGTTACAGAAATAGTAGTCTTGTCAGTGATGAATGTTGTATAAACTGTTTAGACTAGTTATGTTAACATTAAATAACTTATTAAACATATGTTCTTGTTGTTATATAACCTACACTGACATGTTTTCATTTCATACAGGTTTTTGTAATACATACTGCACATAGGCGGATGATAAACATGAGGTTCAAAAGGGAAGAAGCAGTTGAATCAATTTTAAAGCAGATTTTTCACAGGGCTATATTTCCTAAATTTGTGGAAAGTTCTGTTGAAATCCATCAACCTTTACAGAAAGATTTGGGCTTTGAAGGTTATGAACTTGTTCGAAGACAAAATTGTATATCATTACCCCAAAACTTTTAAATTGGTAGTACTGGATTTAAAATAGATTTTCAGCACTGTTACTGATCTGTACCTCCTTGAAACAAGAGGGGACTGAGAGCCTGAATCACCTATCTAACTAAAACATACCATTTCCATATTGAGTTTAATTTTTATCAAAATCAAGAGTTTTCTGAGAAACACATTTTTTTCAATCAAATATACATCATTTCAAGTACTGGTGCATTCAAGTGAAATCAAGGCCATTTTCTAAATATATATATATATATACAGTTCCAAGTAGGATCACATCATTTGTTTAAGCAAAAATGAGGAAATAAAAATTTGTAAAATATTTGAGAACTGAAAATGCATGTAATATTTGTCACTCGACATTAAGCATTGATTCATCAATTACTCAAATCAATCATATATTTTTTTTAAAATTAAGACAAATTTTTCTAAAATTTCTTCTGTAATGAAATGTGTTACAGATTACAAGTCTTAGGATTTCAGCTAAATTTTATATAAAAATAAGGAGATGTGGTATGATTGCCAATGATACAACTATCCACAAAAGTTCAATTGAAGTGGATGTAAGCAATTATAGGCAGCTTTACAGCCTTCAACAATGAGAAAAACCCATACCATATATCAATAGTCGGCTATAAAAGTTATATATATATATTTTTGTAGGTCAAGCATGGTTTATGTTTCATAGAATATTTCAAATAGTGAACTCATCTATATCATTTTATAAATGTGTATACAAACGTATACCATCCTATCCCAATGTGACATGAAAAATGTGTCAGAAGTTCAACTGTTATTTGATAGAAAAGAAAAACAAAGGATATGGGGTATCCATTCATGACAAAAAGTCTGTACATGCACAGCAAAAACACACAAAAAGAGTTTGTAAAGTTCTGTTATATGATTTATTTTGCTTTAATCAAAATACAAAGATCGTAATCAGTAGTTTGTTCTCTTACAAGATTACATAGAACTTTTTTCTAATATTATTTTCCTTATAAATATTCTCCATTATATGCTTTTCAAGACCCTCTATAAAAATCATGTGAGGCAAAATTTGAGAACTCTTTTCTGATATAAACAAATCAATTACTTTTCTATAAACATTAAAAACATAAGGTGGGAAAATGTCTTACAAATACAAACACTGGATCAATTGTCTAATTAGTATTAGAAGTACTGCTGTGATAAATTATTTAAAACAGATTTTGCAAAAACTGGAATAAAATTCTTGCATTAAAGCCAATTATAAAAATATACACCACAAGAACATGTGTTCAATTAAACATGTAGCTACTCAATCATAAACGGTTATCACAGAGATATGTCTCACCTTTTTGTTATTTTCATAGTAAAATGCAAATGTTGAAATTAAAAGTAATCTAAAATTTTCAAAGTTAAAGAACCATGACTGAAGGTACAGGGCCAAACAATCACCATGGAAATAAGATGTGCCAATGCTTATACAACTGCATACCAAATATCATTGACTTATCATAAGTGGTTGCCCTTAAACTGATCTTATCACAAACTTTATCATGTAAACTAAGCAATTGTTTCAAAGTCATTAGACCATGACTGAGAGGGCGGGGCCAGCAAATCTCCATGGAAATGAGATGAGCCAATGCTTATACAACTGCATATCATATATCATTGACCTACCGCTAGTGGTTCCCCATAAACTGACCTAATAACAAACTAATACATGTAAACTAAGCGATCGTTTTTAAAGTCAATAGACCATGACTGAATGGGTGGGGCCAACAAATCTCCATGAAAATGAGATGTGCCAATGCTTATACAATTGCATACCTAATATCATTGAGCTACCACTAGTGGTTCCCCATAAACTGACCTAATCACAATCTTATACATTGTTGATGCCTCAACCGCAAGAAACAGCATACCTATGTCTTGTTTTTTGACTCAAAGAAGGTAAGATAAAATACCATTTCAAGAAAAATAGCTATTATTACACTAATTGAACGTTCAAACCTGTATTATTTTTAATATGTACTACAACTGTTTACACCTTATCGCTATTTGTCCACCATTACTGTCATTACTGGACATCAAAAAAGTTCTCATAAAATTTTGATATCACGAAAGGTAAAGTCTGACAACACATTGCAAAAGTGATTGTTGTATGACATCAAAGTTCAAGTGTATCAAATTTTTCAGTCAAGTATCACAGATTCCCAAATTGTGATAAGGCCTATTATGTAAACATTAATCCTAGCCCATACCAGACCTATTACATTAATCAGAACCTGTTCATGTGTCAAAAAAAGAGACACAAAATACCAAGTGACAATAAAAGTCATAAGTCAAGGAAAAAAACAACAAAAATAGTCTGCAAAACACTACTATGAAAAAAAAATGACTGAACAACACCAAACCCCACAAAACCAATACCAGATCTGGAACTGTCACTGCATGCAATTGATTGAGGTATAATGAATGTTGTAAAATTTCAAACCATTTGCACAAGAAAGTTTTCTACCCAAATGTCTTTTGGAGGGAAGCAATTATAGACAGATTCTAGCTGTTACTAGACCTGCTTTGCTTTTGTTGTTGGTGACCCTGGTAACAAGACTGGGGTGATCTCAGGCGCTCCAGAAAGGTATGTAGATCCTGCTTCAAATGTATTAATTATTGTTCAGCTACAACATCTAACTTAACTAGAAATCCTTCCATGAGGAACAATGGTTATCCACACATTGCACAAGACAATGTTGTCAGTTCTAAATTCCAAGAGAAAATTAAAATGTATTGTTTTTGCTTTAAAGAAACAGATATGAAAGAATAAGTTCTCCATGATCAAATTTGCATCTTTCAACCAAATATTAAACCAGCTAAGCCAAATTTTAAATCAAAACCGTCTAACAATGGTAATAAAATGCTTAGCTGAGCGCAGCCTGATACGACCGCAGAGGTCGAACCCTGAACAGTTGGGGCAAATTTGGACACAATATTCAAGCTTGATACTGTCTGAATTTAGATTGTGATCAAATTTTTGACATAATATAGGTTTCTGACACAAAATAAATGTGGTCAAAGATCTTAAAAATCTATTGCGCAATACTGTGCAGTTAAAGATTTCTTCTTGAAAGTTTTTAAAAATTTGAAATTTGAAAAAAAAAATGAACCCCTTAAAACAATTGAAAAAAAAAATCCCCCCAAACTTTTTGACTCCCCCCACCTGGGAGCAATTACCCCCAAACTCAATCACAGTCTTCCCTTTGTAGTAAGGAACCTTGTAGTACAATTTTAGAGAGATCCATATACTTAAACACAAGTTATTGTCTGGAAACTAGAAAAATGCTTGTTTTTGGCCCCTAATTCTTGCATCTTTTGGGCAATTACCCCCAAAATCAATCTCAGCCTTCCCTTTGTGATATGGAACCTTGTGGTACAATGTCAGAGAGATCCATAAACTTACACACAAGTTATTGTCCGGAAACTACAAAAATGCTTGTTTTTGGCCCCTTTTTCCTAACCTGTTGGTACCATAACCCCCCAAAATCAATCCCAACCTTCCTTTTGTGGTATTGAACCTCCTTGTAAAATTTCATAGAGATCCATTCACTAAAACTAAAGTTATTGTCCGGAAACAAAATGTGTCTTCGGACAACGATGACGACGACAACATCATACCTTTATACGCGAACCCCAAAAAATGTTTGCGGTCGTATAAAAACTGATTCTGTAAGAAAAACTAGCAGAAAAACAAAATCAACATTCCCAATTTCTGTTTTCAATAAATTAATTAACCCATTTAAGCAAATTCTTTGTACCCTATTTATTACAAAATTGCCAAAATAATGTTGCAGGTTAGTAAAAGAGAGGGCACCATATATCACCTAAATGGTCTGCAAAAAGGGATGATGACTGTTTAATGAAACTTTTCAAAGCATGAGCCGTAATTATGTTTTAGAAGGTTAAATTGAATAAAACTTGTATGTTATCTGCAAATGATGATTCTACTTAACATCACAATATTAGCAAAGAAGCTAACACTGTTTGACATTATAGACTTTTTCCAGAAATTTTCAGGCAAAGGGACATAATTTCCTAAAAGCTGTTTGTTCTTCTATCATGCGGTTATAATATTGCCCCAGGTTAGGAGAAGATTTAGCCCTCACAAATGCATTAAACCCTGCAACATTCTTTATGTGTCTGTCCTAAGACAGAAGCTTCTGTGTTTTTCATTTCTTGTTTTGGTACGAATCAGTCTTGTGATTTTATGTTTTGAAATGTTTTCACATTTTGTCATCCCTGGGCTTTTTATGGCTCATATGGTATGTGTTTTGCTCATTGATGAAGACCGTACAGTGACATATAGTTGTTCACATCCTTGTTCTTAGGTCTTTGGTGGATAATTGTTCTACTGGGAAACCAAATTTCCTTATTTTTATATTATATGCAGGTGTAACATCCATGTCCTATGGTCTTTGGCATTGGCAAAATTACAACACTTCCTTACCGGTATTTTTATTCAAAAATAGGTAGAGCTTGATCAAGACACAAAAAATTTGGCTTAATATTTACTAGGACACTTTCAGTATAAAAGTAGCCATACTAACAAGACCCATAAGAATGTACCTGGGGCTCTTTTCACAAAAAATCTTACAACAAGAATTGATTATAACTTATACTGAAATGTTAATGACTTAAAGAGTACTTTTTTCTTGCAAGATTTTTTGTGAAATTGATCACAGAATAACATCCGGA